TAAAATTTAAAATTTTTATTTTTATTTTTTTCAAAATGTTTTTGACTTTTCGAAAAAAGAACGGAATATATGTGATAGAACACATGGTTATGACTTACTCTAGCAAGTTTTAGCTAAATGTCTTCAAAAATGGCCAAGTTATACGCATTATTGCCAAAAATCACAATTATAAATTTTTCATATCAATTTTTAGTACGTTGTTGACATCGTACACCAATATAAATAGCACCATCGTGTTCCTGAGCTCAAACTGCATCCTTTAGACATGTTTTTTATGAAAAATTTCAACTTTGAAATTTGACCTTTTTTTACCTGAAAGTGACCTGACCTCAGCTATATTCAGATAAAAATGGCCTCAAATGACACAGGCGACACCGAATTCGAAATCTATGGCCTAAATGGACCATAAAACATGTGTCATGTGACCGACTTATGACATAAGATTTCCGTGACCTATGATGACCTGACCCTGACCTGAAAATCAAAGTACAAGTTTGGTACCCTCGGGGTATCTGAAGCATCTGTTCTCGAGTGTGTAAACCAGAAATCAGCCTGATCTGACTTGTAAGACGGCAGCCAGAGCCCAAAAAGGCAATTTACTTTGACCTGACCTGTGACGTCATCGGTGACCTCGAGGTCAATGAAATTAGGTTTCGTTAGTCAGTTTTTCTGGGGCTATCAGATGTCGTTTGAATTTTGACGATCGGCCCAGTAGTTTCGGAGTTAGGAGGGGGGCTATGAATAGCCCCCCCCCCCCAGTGGGGCGTTTTATAGGTACACAGACCCCAGTGGGGCGCGGGTTAAGCAAATGCTTAATTTTTACTATATCAATTATGATCCTCCAAAATGAGCTGCAACATAATAAACTAATGGACCATGCTGTTCACTTCGCAATGCTATGGGTGGTGGCTGGTGCCCATAAATACGTTCTCAAATCAATTCATTTAACGCGATTATCAGCGCACCATGCCATTGATTACAATTTTTAAATTAAAGCTCGTCTGGCAAAGGCAGGCAATTGTAGGTAGGTATAGTCTACCTGATGTCCCCCTTTTGGCCCCGATATCGGGTACATTCCAAGAAACATCATAGATGTTTCATATGTAAGATGAGAAGTCACGCTGAATGTTTATGGGCCACCGGCGCGGCGCGGCGGGCCGGTTGTTGGTGCTGGCGCCTGCCACCCCGTCCAGAGTGTGTTTACTCTTCAGTGGCTGTTTTTTGTCGGCCAATGGTACACCGTCTCCAGCAAGACACCACTGTGCTGAAACAAACCAGAACCGGTATATTCCAGATCAGCGACACTTTGCGGCTTGCTAATGCGCCTTATCAAGGCCAATATGAGGTATTTATCAATGCCTATAATTGTCTATAACTATGCCTATAGGGGAAGCGGGGGTAACACCGCCCCCCTAAGCTTTTCGCCAAAATGAGAGAATATGTGTGAAGTCTCTTGGTAGTTATTGTTTTGGTTACAATATTTAAACATTTTCTCACGTGTTTTAGGTACTTATTTTGCATGCTCCTAAAAGGTTTTCATGTATCACGACTTTTAAAAATACCTTGCATATTTGCTGCCTACAAATTGTGTGGGTAACCCCGCCACCGGTGTTGATGTTAACCCAACCCATTCCTACGAAAGCTTTTAATTGTTCAGAGATCGTGTGCGATGAGTTTCCTGTCGGTAAGTGGTAATTTTCGCAAATAATCGGTAATGGACACCTAAATAGGTATAGGTTCATCAGCTGTTTGCCAGTTTTATACAGCTGGCAAGTGCTTGGTCGGGATGCATGAAAAATATAAAGTAAAAAATCAAATAAGCTGCTTATTCCCGACTTAGGAACATCTACGAACATAAATAAAGCGTGTCTTTGGAGTTTCATCACTTATCACGCTACAAACAGGAAACACCGCAACCTCAATTGGGGTAACACCGCCACGGGGTGGCGGTGTTCCCCAATAAGTGATCACAAGCAAAAATCGCCAGCGGTAAGAATGTACTACACGGTTCAAGCAAACTTATCTTACTGGACAAAGCCGATCAGTTATTTTTCGATGTAATCAAGTAAATCAAAATGAGTCTCTACTTAAAGACATTCAAAAGTGCTCCCAACTCATCGAATTTTTATAAGAGAATGTGCATTTTTCTTTAAATGCCCACATTGAGCTTCGATTACACTGAAACACCGGAACACAAATCAGAAGACGCTTACCTGCGTGCGGTCAATAGGAAATAACGGATTTTTACACTTCACATTTCATACTTTCGCCGCCAGATGGGGTGGCGGTGTTTCCCACAGTGGCGGTGTTACCCTCGCTTCCCCTATACATATAATTCTTCATGAAATAAGCGGGCAATGAATTGCCCATGCCGTAGGTAGTTGCTCATTGTTGTAGATAAGCTGGGTCCAGGGGAGGGGGTACTTTCAACCACCGCGGCCCGGGGGCATTTTTCGCCCCATCCCCCCATACTCCGTAAATAAAGAAGCTACGGAATCAAAAGCGGTACAAAACGAAAGATCTCTACAAGGCGACTCTAAAGCATCTAAAACTTTGATCTCAACTCAATTTTCCAGATTAGAGGTCAAGGTCAAGGGCAAAACCTGAACATGGTTAGTGATCTCAAGCTATGTTATCCAGAGGATGGCTTGAAGATGCATAAAATCGGCCAAAACTGGTTGAAAATAAAAAAGATTGTCTGAGGAATCTGATACCGTTATAATAGCTATTTAGGCAAATGCCATGCTCATTCTCAAAATTGACCTCACAGTTTGCACTTTTCGTATATGTTATGCACTAATGTACACCGAATTTCAAATGTTTTGAGATATTGTAAAGCATGTTAGACCCCTAACTGGGGCTCATTTAACCCGGCGGCCGCTGGGCCTCCGCGCCACCCGCCGCGCCGGCCGCTGGGGGGGGGGGCATATAGTTGCCCCCCTTTACTTTCGCGGCGATATCGACGCAACGCGAAGAGATAGAGAAGCGAAACTTTGCACACATCTTCCTGAATACCTATCCGAGGTTGTGTCTAAATTTGGTGTCGATCTCATTTGAAATGACGTCACAGTGACGTCATAAGTCAAATTATAGATTTGCGACTCTCAGTTTCCTCACGATACATCAGGTAAATAGGACCGAATATAAAGGGCCGATTATGGGTTAGGAACTAGATGGAAGTGTACTTAGATGTTTTAGGATGACAGCAGGTGCTGTCTAGTTCATTTACAGTTGAGTTTCATGCTCAGCGTCATCAGAAGCGGTCCATATCGGAAAACGACAAAACTTTATGACGTCACTGTGACGTCATCTTTGATGCTACAACCACCAAACTTTCTTCAAACATTGCCTAGGTATTCATTTGAAGCTATGCCAAGTTTCACGTTCGTAGCTCATCAGGTTTCGGAGATATTCCACAAAACGTAAAGGGGGGGGGCAACTTTATGCCCCCCCCCCCAGCGGCTCGTGGGTTAACGATTGCAGCTGCCTGAAGGTCAAAGTCATGCACGAGTAGGTATCCTTGCTAGCTCCTATTTCACGAGTTGAAGTGGGCCAAACTCAGTCGTTTTGCTATCCTGATGCTCTAGATGTACTTTAGAGCAAAATAGATGACGGACTCCTGATAAGTGGTTACTACCTCATATTAGGCCCATCACGTGTCAAGGGAATGCAAAGGTCATTCGAGGTCACATTTGGTCAACATAACACGTGCTCGTTTCTAAAAAGGATGTATGTCATTCGACTGCAGTCTTGACACACAAAAAAGCGCTGATACGAGCGAGCGAGCGCAGCGAGCGAAACGAAGCCTTTTCAATATAACGGAAAAATCTCAGTATGAGCGGCCCGGCCCGGCTCGGCCTGTAACGCTTTTGAAAGGCTCAGCAAACGCTGGACCGATTGGCCTGCGGTCTTTGTTGCTGGGTAGCCCCATCCCTTCTTCCCCGTTATTGACTACTTTTGATACATCTCAGTGACCGTCGTGGCACGTGCCACGTGAAAAGTCAAGGGCGTCCAAGCTGTTTTGCAAAAGTAGTGATTTTGCGAGGCTCATATCTTAGCAGCCGCTTGGGCGATTGTCTTGCTATAATTTTTGTAGGGTAGCTGCATCCCTTCTACCAAAGGTCGGATACTCTGATCTATGTGAGTTACCCCTACTGCACGTGCAAAATGCAAAAAGAAGAGGTGCCAAATTTGTTCCCATTTCAATAACTTGATAATTATTGGAGAAATTTCGCTGAAACTTGACATAAAGGTAGGCACCTACCAGGCAATGCATTCCATGTGTTGCGGTTAGGGACTAGGGTGCTACTGCACGTGCGCACGTGCAGGCCCAGGGCGCTTCCAGATCTCGAGAACGGCTGGGCTGATTTCGCTCAAATTTGGTACACGGTTGGGGATCGGTTAGTAGGGTGCCGTGCAAAAGTCAGTTTGGACCCCGTTTGCACGTGCGCACGTGCAGAATGCCGCTTCCAGATCTCAGGAACGGCTGGGCCGATTGCGTTCAAATTTGCCATACCGCTAGCGACCGGTTAGAAGGGTGCTTTGCACAAACTCGTTGGAAGTACCCTCTCGCCCTTTCGCACGTGCAGGGCTCACTATCTCGCTCGCTCGTTCTTCGCCCAAAAGGCGTTTTACTTACTGTCTCAGCTCTAGAGCCATTTTTTGTCGAAAATAATTTGAAAAAATCTAAACCCCAGCTCGGGGGTCTCATTGGAGGTCACATTTGGTCAACATAACACGTGCTCGTTTCTAAAAAGAATATATGTCATTCGACTGGTCTTCACACACACACACAAAAAAACGTTGATATTACTGTCTCAGCTCTAGAACCATTTTTTTCTGTCAAAAATAACTTGGAAAAAAACTTAAGCCCCAGCTCGGAGTTCTTTACCTGACCTCTAACCTTTGGTCAACAATACTTTTTGATAAAATAGCAGTTAGCACAGTGCTCTTTTGAGGAACAACGTTTGGCAGCTGTTTTTGTGAGTCAAACAAAATAATTTCACTCGAGTAACGTATATTCTTCTGCGATTAGCATACGCATCTATTATCACATTTGTAAAAATTGGCCACTCGTTTGATAGACATAGCGACCACATATAACAGTAACAAACACTAACGCTTTCTGAGCGTATAGTTTACTACGAAGTACATATTGGTCTTGGCACCTATAAAATGGCATTGACACTCATAACAACATTACTTTTCTTATTGTCAGAGTTGAATCGAACACACATTCGTTATGACCAAGTACCCTATGACACGTATGAGCGGCTGGGAGCAGTGCGGGCCCGGACTGAGCGCCGCTGCCCCGGTCACGCCCCCCGCCGGTGGGTGGGGCGCCGCACGGGCGCATGGAACTGCTAGCGCAAGTCAGTTCGGCTCGCCAAATAAACATCTCACATCCAGACCACACCGTTGTGCCCATTCGACACTGCGCCCTGACCTCTGTCACCGCTCCCTGACCTCTGACACCGCCCCGCCTCTGTCCGGTCGAACACCGCCCCTCTGTCTCCACCAGACCGATCACTACACGCGCAGTTCTGAGAGCTGCTCCTGAGAGCTGCAGCGGCTGCTGGAGCCGCCGCTCGAGCGCAGCGCGCCCCGCGACACGTTACGCGGCAGGGTGGCTGCCACCATCATGTGCCGCTCGAGCATGGGCGCCTCGTCGGGCGGCCGACTGTGTCCGCGGGGCGGCGGCGGCGGCCGCGGCACAGAGCGCGAGCACACGCCGTCCAGCACGGCCGGCGGCGGCAGGTCGGCGAACTCGGCTGGCGGCAGGGCCGCCTGCATCGACGACCGGCCGCTGGACCGCACCGGCCCGCCGGCCTCCAGCTTCAGCGAGTGCCGCTCTCCGCCGGCCGAGCTGACCGCGTGGAACGTGCCGCCGCACACCGGGCCGTTCTCTGAGCGTTTGCGCGACTCGGCGCGTCCCTTTTCGCGCTGGTAGTAGACGCCGGCCAGGATGAGGATGTTGAGGACGAGCAGCGAGCAGCCGATGGCCACGGTGACGCTGAGCGCCGTGCTGTAGGCGGAGAAGGTGCCGGCGCCGGGGCCGGGCCCGGCGGCGGCCGGCGGCGCGCCCTCAGTGGGTCCGCCGCCGCCACCCAGGCTGCCGTCGAGCACGGCGCTGGCGTTGGTGTCGCTGGCGGCGGTGGTGACGGCCGGCGGCAGGGGGCGCCAGGTGGCCGGCACAGAGCGCACCGGGCCGGCGTACAGCGGCGGCGGCCCGGCCTCGTCGAACTGGTGGTGCGCGGCGCCCGGCAGGCCGGTGGTGCCGCGCCGATGGATCTCGGGCACCAGTCGCAGCCACAGCGCCACGCTCTGGGACCGGTAGTGCGACAGGACGCGCGGGGACCGACCTGAAACACCAGCGCACAGACGGACACCGTCAGCAGCGAGCTGAGAGCGCCGGAGATGGCTTCTCTTTGAAAATGTGATTAGATCGGGCGCTACTCGTATTTTATCTAAGTTTCGGAGGTCAGAGCTTGTTTATACCTCGTATATGACTCAATGTGTGCTAGGTATGTGCTAATAAGCAGGATCATAAATAAAAAAGGCAATACCGAATCTATAGGCCATACACACGCTGCATGGATCCTGTTCGGCTATTCGCATAGAAGACACTGGTCACCGGTTAGCATTTTTACCCCACAAAACTCTGTCCCTCTAACAAAAAGACCAGCTTCTCCTTCCAGCTGGCACAAATAAGGAAACAAATTTGTTCACTCCGGCAAAGGCTGATATGACTTAGATTTTAGCGATTCCTTCCATAACAGCAATGTATTGTCCGTTTTGAATATAGGCATTTGAGTTTTAGTAGCACTTCAGAGACAGAACGTTCAACTTTCCCAAATGACTGACTACATTGACTGTGGGTTAGACAAATGGCCACCAGTTAGAGCTTAGTGCCGCCACAAATCACCAGCAGCTGGGTTCCTCGGCACGACTTTTCAATTTTATATCCGTTCCAAATGACAGTTTGGCTTCTCTGACCAGAACATTTGTTGCAGTAACGATTTTTATAGACTTACCGAGCGCCATGTATTTTTTGTACATTTGTTCGTAGGGGCTCCAGATGATCTTCCTATGCCGGTCGTCTCCACCGCCTTTCACGTATACATCCTTTGGCTTATTGGGGTCCCTGAATACAAATCACCAGTCAGGTTAATGTATAACTAAGTTCTGCGCTAGCCTATATGACTACACTTTTACCTCGTGAGATTGCGTTCGCGAATAGCCTAAACGACAACGGATAGAAACTTTTTTTCAAAACTTGTTAATTGCTTATTCCAAAACGCAGCTGTTGAATCGCGTTATTTTGAGATGCCGCTCAGATGCGTTTCAGATGCTGCGTACCCAGACTTGGCGAAGTTGGTCCAGAAGGCCATCAGTGTCTCAGAGAGGGCTCGCTGCTCATCCGTCCACGGGCCGCTGAAGTAGCCCAGTCGGTAGACGAGCGGCGCCCCGAACACGAACGGCAGCTCACTGCCGTGAGAGAGCCGGGGCGCCTGCGGGCAGGGTGGCATAGACCGTGTCGGGTCAGCGCGACTGCACTCCGCACTCTGCTGAGACCTGGCAGAGCACAGGGAGCGTCGGGTCGGGTCGGGTCATGTAGCGGAGGACAGCACAATGGCTGTTGGGTCATGACTGGTGGATGTAAACGAGACCGAACAGCGGGATGGCTATTGACTTTTGACAACATACGTCAACAGTCAATATACGCTCGTATATTGACGTATGTGTGTTCGGTGTAATCGTGAGTGGGAAAGGCTGAAAATGGAACAGCGGAACAGCACCTTTTCGCATCCACTTGTCGCTTCAGTTAGGAACAAACTTGAGAATGACTTTAAAGTTTTTAACGTAATGCACACAATAGAGGCATTACAAATTCAAATATGTTGCAATGTTGCAGACCAAAGTAAGAGCCAGACGGAAATTCAAGCCCGTGGTTTGATCACCAGAGCCTCGCACAAGGTTTTGTCTCCACTCGCCCACCAGATCGCGAGGTGCTGTGAATGAGTACCCACCTCCGTCTACCGGGAAGGTGCATGCTCAAAGTCAAGGCCCTCGCGGCACCAGGCGAGGTCAGAGCCGACGCCCCTGTCCCGTATATAAGGAGCAGCAGGCGCACAACCGACACACACTCCCTGGTCTATTCTCCCAGCAGACGGAGCAACAACCAACCGCAGAGATGAACGCCAAGCTTGCGGTAAGCACACCTTTGACTAGCTAAAAATTGATGGGTACAAGCAATATAAATATTCATAACTAGTCATACATTTGCATAAATACCTATATTCAGTCCAAAATGTGTAAATTTGGGCAGCAGGTTCTATTCAATGCATGCCTGTGTAAAAATAACAGCATAACGGGCGTTTGTTTTTTTTTTTGCCAAGGACTTGGCAAAAAAGCGAACAAACGTTATTGCTGTCGTTTTTACACAAACATGCATAAATATGTTCATAAATATATAAAATAAATGCATAAAAACTGTATCGACGTTTTGCTATCAATATTAATATGCTTTAACATATGTGGAGTGTGTCATTTCCTTTTGTGCCCACTGCCCAATGATGTTGGGTAAGGCGTCATTTCAATCACTAAACTGCACTGTAAAAAAATTCACTAGCTAATTTTGAAATTAGGCATTTTTTACGAGTGCCTCCCTTGCACCTCGTTACAACATATATGGACATTAGTAGTCAGAGCCATGCACGTTAACAATGCCCTTTGTGGAACAAATGCCTACGAGCGAGAGCATGTTCAGGAACCTAATTTTGCGCAGTGTTAATGAACTACGCACAGCCTCACAGTGTTATCCGCCGTTGGCTTGTTCTCGGCCAGTTTTTGGCGTGTCCCTCAATTAGGTCATTTTGCTATTAGCTCAGCTGACGAGGCCCCGACTGGCACCTACTAAACGGATAACCTTGCGTGCAACCCTGCTTGTTGTCACGAACGCCTGCAGCTGGTAAACGTGCTGGTAAGCTTGCGTGGTCAGCGGCTTCGGATGGCTATGAGGATGTGCCTCATAGCTATCCTCGTCGCATGTTACAACCTAGGAGTCTGTGGCTGCTTTCAGAAGGAGTCCCCCCCCCCCGCATCCGGGAGCCGGCGTCCATTTTGTGTTGCGTCGCCATTACTGTGTGTGTCTGCCCAACTGCTCTTTGGCTTGATTGAAGGTGAGGCATCTTGTATCATTTGCTGTGTGCTCAACAAAAAGGTTGTCCATTTGTAAACAAAAGTTATTATGTTGTTGAGCTTCTTAGAAGATGTATAGTATCGCATAGTGTTGCCCGTCGTTGGCAGAAGTGCGCCGTTATCGTCTATCCAAGTCAGAATAGCTATATGTTTGGGACTTAAGCTAGCTTGTGGCAGGAATATATCACTTTCTTCAACTTTAATTTAATCATTTTCCAGATTGTTATGCCTTATGATAATAATAATGTTGATATTCGTTTTTTTCACCCATTACAGACTTCTCTGGTAAAGAATGGGGCCATGTACATATGTCCTGGCCTACCTTCACCCCGCGACTGCCGCCGGTGCAGAGCTAATGAAAAATCACAAATGTTTGATGGTGGTTATTTAAGAAACCTGATTGCAAATTATTCAGTTAGTTGTTGTTGTTGTTGTTGTTGTTGTTGTTGTTGTTGTTAAAGTTATAGTTATTGTCCTGGCGTTGTTATTGTTCTCGTTCTCGTTCTCGTGCCCGAATAAATGTGCTGCAGCGCTACTCAGTCTGTTTACTTGCGGGTGGCGGTCGAGAGTCGGGGGCACTGGTTGACGGAATTCCGTCGACGGAATTCCGTCGACCCAGTGCCTCGACCCCGAAGGCCAGTAGTGGTACTAGTTAACTAGTGCCACTACTGGCCTTGAGCTAGTACCACTACTAGCCTTGGGGGCTAGTACAATTACTGGGTATGGATTAGTAGGCAGTGGCTAGTTACCTTACCAGGCAGGGGCTATTATGACACCTAGTAGACGCACTACCCACGCTATTTACGTGCGTGTTGTCAAACTAGGTGGAGCACGGTGGTCGTATGCATACGAGGCACAGCCTTGTCGAACAAGCTTGTTACTCGGCAACTAGCCTAAAATTAGCCAAATTTACACGCTCCTGCAATGTTATTTTTGCGCTGAGAATTCCTCTACGAGGGGCTTGTAAGTTTTTTTTTACAGTGTGATATGGTTCGTTTCCATTTTCAGCTGCTGATGCTGGCTGCCCTGGTGGCGTGCGTCTCTGCCTCCCACCCTGGATACGGATACGGTGGATACGGACACGGTCTAAGCCACGGATACTCCGGATACCGTTATCGCCGTTCTCTGGGCTACGGACACGCTGGATACGGATACGCTGCCCCTAGCTACGGATACGCTCCCCGTTCTTACGGATACAGCAGCTACGGACACGGCCTGAGCCATGGCTACGCCGGACACCGTCACCGCCGTTCTCTGGGCTACGCCAGCTACGGTCACGGATACGCTGCCCGTAGCCACGGATACGGATACGCTCCCCGCAGCTACGGATACGCCAGCCACAGCTACGGCTACGCTCCCGTCAGCTATGGCTACGGCCATTAAACTCGCCTTTGCCGCCTGTTCTTCGCGTTTATGAATCGTTGCTTCTTGGTATTCTGTGCACAATGTACAGAATGTCATATTCTGCCAAAGTCAAATTGAACTTTCACCTGACAAGTGACATCCCTTGCATTGTGAATAAACTTGAGAATATACACCTGTATTTATCAGCATTGTATGAGTCGGAAAGAGGCTTTGCGTTGCATTGCATATATACCTCATACTATAAATACAGGGCGAACGAAGTAATGCATCGCCATAAGAACGACAATTTCGTTCTGCTGGATTGCTCAAAATGAAAAATCTGTGAAGTGCGACCACCAAGATAAGTGATATATTCTCATCTTTTTGAATAGATGAGTATCAGTTGCAACAAAAAGCGCCGCATGGTGATGGATCACGGGAAACAGGCTTGCCTTGCAAGAGCCAACCAACACGCTTACCATTTTTTTTTTTGCGAAGCGGGACATTGTCTCTGGCTTCCTGAAGTATTTGGTTGTGCGATGCTAAGTATGCCGTCTGCTCATTTCAGCATTTGACCGAAAAGAGCCATTTACCCTTCCAATGTGTACATAGGGGTGCCATTATTGACGAATGTTCGCTATTGTTAAAAACGCATTTAAGTTGAATAGCCAACATTTGGCATACTTGACCTATGGTTCTAGACGGATCTTACAGAGCAATACGCATTTTCAGGTCAGGTCAGTTTATCAATCTTTAATGGGTTCCAATACGTAATTTTCTGCACGGTCCAAACAAACTGCAACTTAAAAACGCTCTATTAGTTGCGGGAGATCTTCTTAGGCAAATACTACTTTCGAAGAGTATCAATATCCCGAATATTTGCGGCTGGTATTTTCCACGTTTTGTTTGGTAGCAGTCACCAGAGATCAGGAAGGTTATTGGACTTGCCAGTTGCCTATCCCGCGCCCCGTTGGGGAGCGGAGGGGGGGGGGCAGAAACGGCTTTCAGTCGATAGCTCTCAAAGTATAGCAGATATCGCCACGAAACTTTCAGGACCCCTCCGGGCATCAACTTTACATCTTGAGTTAAAAATTCCGAGAGCTTGTGACAGATTGACCGCAAATGACGTCAGGGTGACGTCATGTACTGTCATTTTCGACAAAAAAAGGTTTTGCGGGAAGAGCTGTCACGCCTACAGTTTTAGGAAGAGATAAAAATTTCAAAATTAGAAAGGTGTGAAATTAACGGGGCTACAAAAGCGGCCATCTCAGATTTTGAAAGCTTTTGATTTAAACCCCTAAATCGAAAAAAACGATTTTGGATATAATACCCAAAAAACTAAAAACTTCCCAACATTTTAATAAACCGGAACACATGTCTTAAAAGTATTGGTCTGCACTGTTAAAGGAAATAGTTCACTTTTTAACATGGGTTTTGAACTGGAATAGCAGTTCCGTAGCCTGGGCTGAGACGAGCATAAATCAGGAGCTTTTACAGCCCAACGATCACCCTAGGCAAAGATATTCTATTTCTCGTCCCGAAAAAGGTGTCGATGTGTGCCTTGCATATATTCGCATCCAGTATGAAAAGAGCATGGGTACCGAAAATTCTTCAGAAACTAGAGAAATTATCTACGAGAACTCTAGAGAAATTCTCGTACTGATCAATAAGGACATTCAGCAGCAGCAGATCGCCCAAATGCCGGTGGCCGCAATAATTTCTCTAGTTTCTGAAGAATTTTCGGGACCCATGCTCTTTTCATACTGGATCGCCTGTGCCTTACAGAAACTGAAAAGTTCTTCCTATATCAAAATATAGAAAATAATCTTTTGTTATAAATAGGTTTTATTTTCTTTGCTGATCATTTTGAACATAAAAAATCATAAATCCATTGCAAAAAAAATAATTTCGTGAAAGTGAACTATTTCCTTTAACATGCCAAATTTGACCTCGATAGCTCGGTTTT